ATATCTAAGGGCGCATTCCCATAGTTTCTAGATCGATCTATTCCTGTGGGGAGCTTACAAGATCACTGTCAGATAATCCGGCTTAAATGTCCGTCCCGCCTACTACAAGCTGTAAGGGGGTAATTAACTTTCCTGCCCGCTCGGCTGACAGCTATTTAGCGTGAACCCCCAGGGAGTTAGGTCGATCTAGTTGGATCGATCTAATCTCTAGGAATGGGGTCTTACAGGGACAGGTCCAGGATTATTTGAAAGGGGGGGGGTCCACGGATGCAAAGCCCCGAAAATTTTTTGGTATTTTAGAGGATGAGCGGTGCCTTTTAGAACTATGATTCAGATAGTCAAAATTCTAATTTGAAGAAGGGAAAATTGGTGTGATTTTTCTTTTCAGAAATCGGAAGGGGGGGGGTCAGGACCCCTCTGACGCCCCCTTAAATCCGCCTCTGCCCTATATGTACCCTATACCTTAATTCTCCGTACCGGTCACACATTGACTTGTTTTCGTTACTTTAATTGTCTTTTGTGTGGTTTCCAGAATTTTCTGTTCTATTTTGTCATTTCAGCAATCAATATCTCCTTATTAGGCAATTTTTGTGAGCCTTACAGGTTTTAATTATAGATCCAAACTGTAATTTGTATTGCTAGTACATCATACTTGGATCGCACCCAAAGCCTAGTTTGCATGCGTTATACACGTGGCAGAAAAGTACAACATGATCCTAAAATTAACCAATCAAATTAAACTGTATGCGACTTTGACATTCTCCTAACACGAAATTAAACACGCACGCAATAATTCAATAATTCGCTGCATGGGCTTTTACTTAATTAATTCTATTTGTAATTATTACTTGAAATTAGTGAAGACGCAAGCCATGAACTTTACAGCAATATATTTCTACCCAGAATGTCGGGTTCAGGATTTTGCTCGGGGGTACAAAGGGTATAAGAATCTATAAATAGTGAACGAGGAGAATTGTGTTGATCTCCGATTTTTAGCCTTGATCCCCCCACCCCCCCCTCCCCCTCCAACACACACACACACACACCCAGCAAAATTCTGAATCAACCAGTGCTAACACTTTACTTCAGTTGCCAAGTATTCATATTTAATGTCAGGAGACCGGGTAGATAAGTAAGAGCTGACCGTGCTTTTATCTTTTTGATTTGATTAATACTTTGATCTTGATTTCATGCTTCGATTTTAAAGATACTGACTTAAAGCACCGCGTCATTAACTGCGAACCGCACCTCCCCCCCCCCCACCTGCTCGTTTGGCACAGTCCGTACACACGTTTTGCACACTTCCCTCAATATGTTTCATAGTCCAAGCATTGAGTGAGTAACTTATATCCCCTTCCCTCAAATTCTGTCCAAAACGCTCAAGCCACTTTTCTGGAACGTGGTGGAGACGTTTGTCTAGAAGCTTGACTTTTCAAGGAAAGAAAAAATGTGTAACTCTTTTTCGACTTTGAATCTCCAAAAGCTCTATTGTGTAGTTCCTCGTATTTTCCGAAATATTAAAAAAGTTGGCAGTTTGGAAGAACAACCAGGGACCTGAAAGAAAGGCGGCCAAAGTACCCCAAACTGTTCAACAACGCTCAGAACGCGATGGTTGCAGTTAACTTCTTCATTCTCCCCGCCCTTCAAGCCAAAAATTCGATGGTCGTAATCACTATAATGGCGCAGTCAGAACAAGTTGATCCGCGGACTAATAGATCCACCGATCAAATTTGGCTGACCCACTTTTGAAAGCCTGTCGCATAATCCCCTAAAAGATACTGGAAAGATTCCCAGCGGGGATTACGCGGTAAGGTTTTAAATGGGTCGGCCATATTTGATCCGCGGATCTGACAGTCTGTAAGATTGTGCATGTAGACTAATTTGCAGCCCCAAGTCACGAACGACAATGATCGTTTTCTAAAGTTCGTGGTTGACATGATTCATGTTGCATTGATAAACAATTTGATTAAACGGAAGATGTGCAGACACCTTCAATGATGTTGATTGTTGGGGGAAAGGACTTGGTATAACGTGAACAGTGAAACGCAACGTAATTTTTAAAAAGAAAAGCCATACCTGTTGTTGAAGTAATAAATTAATAATAATAAATTTATTTTAAGTCTAAAATGTTCAGTAGACTTTACATAAAACATCATAAATAAAATCTAGGTAAAACATCTGAACAAGTGAATGATTCATCCCTTTCTCTCTAGCCACCTACCTTTCTGCACGCAGTTGAAACTGTGATGCTTAATTTTTATTTTTCAGCTATGTATTTGTGTCACCCTCAACGTCTATTTTGTGTAGTTCTCGGAATTTCTTTTCCTAGGCTCTCGGTCCATCGAACGTGTTGATCTTTCTAAATTGTCCTACACACGCCCTTTAGCGTACTTCTGTGAAACCCGGCGATCCCCACGTGAATGTCAAGATGTTCTAGAAATGTTTCTCATTGTTCCCCAGTAAACCTCCACTCCTTTTTCTTACCCCCTACCAGGGTCACAAATTGATTTTTTTTCACTAGATATTCAGAGATATGTCTCTGGTTAAATGACGGCACGATTATTTGCTATTGCACTGAAGAAAAATGCACGCATAATGAATCAGCGGCCCCGGTAGAGGGTCATAATTTACCGTCATCATTTCCTTGCCGTGTTGGCTCATTACCTACATTCGTCGACTCTCGCTTACGCCAACAACGTCAGAGCACACGAAACAGAGGCCACCTTTGAAAAAAACTCTAGAATTTCTTTTTACAATTTCCTGTTTTAGGACTACGATTATTATTTGATATTCTGTCACGATTATTTAACACCAGGTATTACTAGATCGCAGGATTTTTCTTTGACGACAGGAAATGGGGCCTCTATATTAAACCTGAGCTGACAAGGGATCAAAAATCTTCATATTTTCTCAAATGGTACTGATAAAATACTCTCGCAGGAAAGGGGGACATGGAAAAGATTGGAAACATAACATTTTAACGTTGGTCGTGGGGTGTACTTGTATATGATTTACAGCTATATGGTATGTAAAACTGATGGGGATCTTATAAGCCATTTTCTTTAGTTCTACTGTAAATTTCTACCTATACGAGTGCAACATACCGATCTGTCTCCATCACGAGATTGACGCTATATAATCCAGCACATGGCAACTGCTCTCCAATCATGTTGCAATTTAAAACTGTCACCACGCCACGAGCTTCAGATTTCCTCAGGCGATATTAGAAACTGTTGAGAAACACTTACAGAAATAATGACGCTTTATGTCAGGTGCATACAGTGTTCATCACGCATCATCTTGTCGTTTTAGATGAATAAATAATAAATAGACAAACAAATAAATAGATAGATAATTAATTAATTAAATTGCTCAACAGAGAGAGTACTTGCGAACCATAATATAGTAGATATAACAAACATTTATGTAACTGCAAGTAAGAAGGCATTCTTACTGCAATACATAAAAGAAAAACCTAGATACCTTAATCCTGAAGGTTCAATATTTTGTACAGTATAT